AATGCTGGAGATGAGGTCGCCCAGACCGGGAAGGTCAATTGGGTTGCCGCCACCCTCTTTGTTCTGTTGGCCGCCAGGTTTGGTGTTTGGTGGTTTGGCGGGAGTTTTAGGTGTTGCGGGGTGGTGATGAACTGGAAGGTGTGGCCGGACTGGTGGCAGTACTGGGGGCTTCTTTTCTGAATGGGGAGTTTTAGGTTTGTGCTTTTCGTCAGGATGAGTTGGCTTCTGAACTGGCTTGGGAACTGTTGGTTTATGTTCGGGTTTAGGGTGAGGAGGAGGAGGGTGAGGAGGGTGAGAAGGGGGAGGAGGGTGTGGTAAGTGTGGTGGGTGTGGTGGATTGGGAGGGTGAGGTGGATTGGGAGGGTGAGGAGGATTGGGATTGTGAGGAAGATTGGGATTGTGAGGAGGATTGGGAGGGTGAGGAGGATTGGGATTGTGAGGAAGATTGGGATTGTGAGGAGGATTGGGAGGGTGAGGAGGATTGGGAGGGTGAGGAGGATTGGGATTGTGAGGAAGATTGGGATTGTGAGGAGGATTGGGAGGGTGAGGAGGATTGGGAGGGTGAGGAGGATTGGGATTGTGAGGAGGATTGGGATTGTGAGGAGGATTGGGAGGGTGAGGAGGATGGGGAGGATGGGGAATTGGTTTGGAATGAGGGGGAGAATGAGGGACTGGTCGGGGAAGAGGTCGTGGGGCAGGGTGAGGACGAGGAACTGGCCGAGGATGAGGACGTGGGACAGGATGGGGGCGAGGAACAGGCCGAGGATGAGGACGTGGGACAGGATGGGGGCGAGGAACAGGCCGAGGATGAGGACGTGGGACAGGATGGGGACGAGGAGCCGGTCTTGGTCGAGGTGCAGGCCGAGGAGCGGGTCTTGACGGAGGTCGAGGGTGAGGATGAAATTGAGGTGGAGCTGGTCGAGGATGCGAGACAGGAGGATGGTTGAACGAAAAGCTCTCTTGAACTATCTCAGCTTCAGCGGAAGAGTCCACGTCTGACTTGACGAACTTGGAAGCATTTTGAGCGTCGGCAAGGTAAACAAATGCTGTAAATCAGAATCAAGTTTATTAAAAAATTACCGAAAAACATAAAAATTAAGTTTACCCAACACAGCAGTCAAGACCAAGGATGAGAGGTGCACAATTTTCATGATTTTTTGGTTGTCCAGTAATTTAAAAAAAGTTAACAGGACATTGTTTTAGAATGAGACTGTGAACCATTGCATTTATATTCTTTTCCTGCAGTGATAAACACAACGGTAGTCAGGGAAGGGATGCTAAGGGACACACCATTATCTGTCGCATCAGTTATCAGTTTCTTTTGTTTTAATTACTTATCTGCAATCCCTAAAAAGAAAACTCAAAATTTTTGCTAAAAAGGGGCTACTACAATTTGTTATTCCTGTTTGATATCTAATCTTGTGATTTTAATTTAATTTTTAATTTTAGTTGATACCGGAAAAGAGTGCCGTGTTTTGTGTTTTTAGCAGTAATTTTAATCATTTGATTCTGTCTTGTTTTTGTCCTAATTATTTTGCATTTTAGCAGAATATCGCAATCATTTTTTTTGCAATATTTTTAGAACTAAACAAAAGGTTATCATAGTAAATAACCGAATCGAGGACAACGTCCTGGCGGAACAAAACGGGAACATTACGTTTACAAAAAGGCCACCGCAGCAGAAAAACAAGAGCAAAAGTCGAGCAGCAGCATCTTCTTCTGGCCGCCAAGTCACGGTCACCACCGGTCCTCGAGAAACGCCGGATTTAGAATTAGCCTAGGATTTTTTGCTAGTATTTTTGGAACAGCTTTTGGCATTCTGCTTTATCAGTACTACTACTGCTGGTTACTGATTTAGTCAATTGAAATTCACTTGTTTTTAGACTTTGACCTTCATGTGCCTCTCCTCTTTGCAAACTTTTTTGCTGATTTTTTTCAGTTTCAAGTTACACACACTGCGAAATCTGCTGTACAAATAAACAGACACAGACACACAAACACTTTCAAATGTAAAATGATACTCACCACACACACACCTTTCCCAGAACTCTAGATCATCGATCAAATGAACTCCAAAGGTCAATTGGTCCTGACCCTGATTTTGAACTTTGCAACGCTTTAATCTCATTTCTCTCCGCCGTACTCAAGCACACGCACACACATTGGAGGGAGGGAGGGAAAACATGAGAGGATTATAAGAAAACAAAGAAGACGACTGTCTCCCTCTCGCTCTTTTGTAATATATAAAATCTAACTCGCAAGCTTTGCTGAAGGTCTGCTGCTGCTGCTGCTGCCCAGCAAGAAAAAATTGGAAATTGGAAACAAAAACACCGAGCCGGTGNTTGTAATATATAAAATCTAACTCGCAAGCTTTGCTGAAGGTCTGCTGCTGCTGCCCAGCAAGAAAAAATTGGAAATTGGAAACAAAAACACCGAGCCGGTTGCGATAAAGAGAGCTTCAGAAAAAAGAGCAAGCTCAGTAGTACTGACAGCACTGGTTCGTCTTCCGCGCCGTCTTGTAGAAGATCTTACTCTGCGCGCTGAGGTCCTCCGACTTGGCCACCAGGTCGTCGAGCTTCTCCCCGCGCTCCAGAATGCTGCTAATGGTATTGTAGAGGATGATCTTCGTGTCATCGAGGTCGGCCTGGATGCGCGCCATGGCGTCCGCCTTCGGGTCCTGGTAGAGCGTCAGGTACTGCGCCAGCTTCCCGTAGGGCGCCTCGTTTTCCGCGCAGCTGAACCAGACCGCCGAGGGCACCTTCTCGGTGAACTCCTCGAGGACTTTGTAGAGGAGCGTGTGGGCGACCCGGTGCGGGTACTCCTCATCGGAGACGACCACCGCGGCGAGGTTGTCCCCTGCTCGGACGTAGACGTGGACGACGTACGTCTGCTCCTTGACGCTGGAGCGGCTGGCCGGCGGCGACTTCTCCACCAGCATCTTGCTGGTGAAACGAAGGAACTCGCGGACGCCGTTTCGCTGGAAGAAGCCAAAGGAGCTGACGTCGGCCGCCGAGCTGAGCACCTTGGTGGAGGCGTTTGGGCTGGCGCCTTTTAGAAGCACCGACAGGTAGAAGAGCTTCACCATGGCTGGGTTTGTTGTTGTTGTATTGTTGTAGTGGTGGTGACCGGAATGAAGAAG